TATCTGGAGCGTGCGCACACTTGACCACACTGTGACAGTGCCCAGGCTCGGACCCAACCTTGCTCTGAGATTGGAGTGGGTGCTGGGAGTGAGGAGAGGCCAGGCAGTGGGAGCAAACACTTCTGAACCTGCAGTGGCTGGGCGGGGGGCCTTCCCAGGCCTCTGAGAGTGCAGAGATGCCTGGGTCTGCAGCTGCAGGTTGGGCGGCTGCAGCTGTGCCTGGGAGGGTGGGGCTCCTGCCTACTTCCATCCCCCAAGAGCACAGTGATGCCCAGGTCTGCAGCACACCTGGGTGGGTGGCCACAGCTGCACCCAGGGAGCGCGAAACTCCTGCCCTGTCAACTCAGAAGGTGGCGGGGCTCCCACCTGTTCCTGGCTTCTGCTGCCTCCGTGGAGCATGCAGTTCTGGCTGCACCTCCCCCACTGCAGCTGGTGTCATGGCAGTGGCCGCTGTTGATGGGCCGCTGCTGCCTTTGGTGGCACGCACTTATAGTCACAACTACTCGGGAGGCTGAAGCAGGAGGATCACTTGAGCCCAGAAGGTCGAGGCTGCAGTGAGCCATGATTGTGCCACTGTACTCCAACCTGCATGACAGAGACAGACCCTGGCTCTATAAAACAAAAACAAATACAAAAACAAAACAACAACAAAATAAAATGAGTTAATGGAAAAGGAGCTGTAGGAGTAAGAAAAAGAGGAAGACTACAAGAAAAATAACTATGTGAGGACACTTTCAAGAACTAGAAATCGGCTGCTTTAGTCATGCCATAGTGTGGTGTGTTAAAATGAAGAATGAGGAAAGACCTTTGGATTACCAACTCTGGAATTTCGTGACTTTTCCAGAGCATTGTCAGGTAGCTTGCTATGTGGGAAGAGTGGTAAGGGAGTAGAAAGTGAGTTCCCAAACACTTGGGAATACAGTGATTTTCAAATACTGTTTTCTGGATCAGCAATAACAGAATTACCTACGTTTCCTCAACTCATAACTATTGTTGAGCCTGGTAATGTACATTTAAAAAAAATATTTATTTATTTATTTATTTAGGGATGGAGTGTCACTCTTGTTGCCCAGGCTGGAGCGCAGTGGTGTGATCTTGGCTCACTGCAAGCTCCGCCTCCTGGGTTCATGCCATTCTCCTGCCTCAGCCTCCCGAGTAGCTGGGACTACAGGTGCCCGCCACCACGCCTGGCTAATTTTTGTATTGTCCGTAGAGATGGGGTTTCACCATGTTAACCAGGATGGTCCTGATCTCCTGACCTCGTGATCCACCCGCCTGGACCTCCCAAAGTGCTGGGATTACAGGCATGAGCCACCATGCCTGGCCGGTAATACATGTTTTGAAAAAGTTCCCCGGATGATTTTAATGAAAGCTCATGTCTCGCATTTGCAAATACAGATTTTTGAAGTATTTTAGCAAGGACTGGCTTGTGATCAAGATGGATTTCTGAGTGGTATTTTGAGACAAACCCTCCTTTTTGTAAAACGAAAACCAAAAAAGCAAAGCAGTAATTGATAAAATAACAAAGATAAAACCAAATTGACAAAACTAGGGCTCAAAAAACGTAAACATTTCTGTGTTTCAGGAAGGAGCAGGTGAGGTTTTGGCTGCTTTGAAGTAATAGGGAAGTGTAATTAGAGTTGGGCTTATTGTTGGAAACAGTGGACCAAGATAGGACTCCTCTGTTAAAAAAGATGTTTCTGAGTTTACTTCCAGGGCTGCCATATTATATAACTTTAGGGATTAGATTGTAGTTACTTAGTACAGTGATCTTTAACCTTTTTGGCACCAGGGACTGGTTTCATAGATGACAGTTTTTCCACAGATGGGGTAGTAGGGGATGGTTTCGGGATGAAACTAGTCTGCCTCAGATCATCAGGTATTAGGTCATCAGGCATTAGTTAGATTCTCATAAGGAGCATGCAATCTAGATCCTTTTCATGTGCAGGTCACAATAGTGCTTATGCTTCTTTGACAATCTAATGCTGCTGACTATCTGACAGGAGGCAGAGCCCAGGCAGTAATGCTGACTCGCTTGCTGCTCATCTTCTGCTGTGCGGCCCAATTCCTGACAGGCCATGGACTGTCACTGGTCCATGGCCCAGTGGTTGGGGACCCCTTGACTTAGCACATCTTCTGGAGTGGTACAGGTCACAGCCTCTCTGGCTGTAAGAAGATTTGCTGCTGACTGCTGCCAGATGCCATAGCTTATATGAACCAAATACTTAGGGATTCAGGAAACTAAACATAGCTATACAACTGGGAACCTGGTAACTCAGAGTATATCCTCACTGTTATTGTAGAGCAGAATCTTCATCTAGACTATCTGTAAGAAAACTGTTTATGAGATAACTGAGGAAATTTGAATATCAATTGATCATTTAATACCAAAAATTTTTAGTTAAAAAATATATTTATGATACTGTGGTTCTCTTAAAAAAGTAGTAAACAGGTTCTCAGTAAGTGTTTGTATGAAAAACAAAAGAAGTTCCATCAAAAGTCCAATTGTAAAGCTAAATTCTCAAACATACAAAGTCATCTCATGCTAAGGAGGATATGAAATAAACAACCAGAAGAGCAGTTCAGTCTGGATGACGCTTCAATGTTAGTCTGAAAAATATTAAATTACATACTCAGGATTTTCAAAAAGAAAAGGAGTAATAGCCCTTAAGTATAAATAATTTCGGAATGTAAACTGGCAGAAAAAAGATCAGGTGGATTTGAAAATGACAAAAACTTTAGAAGTGAAAAATATAGTTGTAATTTTTAAAAGCCAACAGCATGGTGTTCATGAATGAGAAGAGTCAATAAGATGTCAGTTATGTCCAATATTAATCTGTAAAATCAATGCAGTATTAAAATCTGAAAAGGTTTTTATTCATGATAGTAAACATGTGAACTTAAACATTTTTATGGTAGAGTAAATAGCCAACATAAAATTTGTAAAGAACAACACATTAAGGTAATGTGCCCTTCAGATACCAAAATTTATTATAGGACTGTAGTAATTAACAGAGGTTCGGGGTGGAAAAATAGACCTATGGAATAGAATATAGAGCCCAGACAGATTGATAGGTACAAATCCATAGATGGAATCTGTTTTTAGTATGCTATGAGATAGGACTGTTAATTTTCTTCACTTCAACTCAGATTAGCAATTGAACCAGTACCACAGGGAAATGTTTATCCTTTCCTAACTAGTTTTTTTTAAATTTTTTTTTTTTGAGACAGAGTCTCACTCTGTCACCCAAGCTGGAGTGCAGGGGTGCGACCTTAGCTCACTATAACCTCTGCCTCCCAGGATCAAGTGATTCTCCTGCCTCAGGCCTCTGGGTAACAGGGATTACAGGGACGTGCCACCTTGCCTGGCTAATTTTGTATTTTTAGTAGAGACAGGGTTTCACCATGTTGGCCAGGCTGATCTTGAACTGCTGACCTCAGGTGATCCGCCCGCCTTGGCCTCCCAAAGTGCTGAGATTACAGGTATGAGCCACCACCTGGCCTATATGTCTGGGTTTTTTTTGTATGTTCTGTATTAATCTCTGTGTTTGAAAGACCATCTTGGCAAAAGGGAAAAAATAGTTTCTTGATTAGAAGACTGACAAATACATAGTAGTATGAAAGGATAGAGAGTACCCTGGGCAACATGTTGAAACCCCGTCTCTACTAAAAATACAAAAATTTAGCCAGGCAAGGTGGCGCACACCTGTAGTCCCAGCCAGGTTGAGGTGAGAGGATCACCTGAGCCAGGGAGATAGAGGGTGCAGTGAGCCAAGATCACGTCGCTGTACTGTAGCCTGGGCGACAGAACAAGACCCTGTCTCAAAAAACAAAACAAAACAAAACAAAAAACAAAAAAAGGGAAGTAACCGAAAGTATTTCTTCTTATTATTTTTTTAATAGCACATCATCCTTATATGTTAAAGGATGAAATAAATAAGGGAAATATTGATGACACATGAGAGTGGTTTTTTTGGGGGACATATAACTAACTAATGAAGATGATAAGAAATAGGTTTTATCAGCCCTGGAAAGTGTGTGGGGCATATTTTCTCAGTAGAAGACAGGAATGGAATAAGATAGATGAGGTAAAGATAGGAATAAATTTTGAGTTGGAGAAGCCATTTGAAGGAAATCACTATTTTCTCAGTGAGGTATAAAAGTTGAAATCATTCTTCTAGAAGTGTGATACACTGTATATGAGGTTTGAGAAGATGGGAAGAAAATGCAGAATACTTGTAAGGAATGCAATAAATAAGGTTAGGTAAAAAGATACAGTGGTAGCATTGAAGGACAAAGGGAAGCTGAATAAAATTTGTAGTGGTACCTAGTTGTATAATTTTGTTAAATTTACTCAGCAGGTCGGGGGAAGGATTCTTTTATTGCTCTTGCCAAACTCCCTTCTTCCCACCTTGTGGGAGGGAGGGAGTCAGAACCTAGAATTCCTTGAAAATATATGTCTATCTCTTTAGTTGGTTTCTCTCATCATTTTCTTGGTTTTATGTAATTTCTCTGTTTATCCATCTTCTTACTGTTTTTAACAAATTTAACAAAATGTTTGCTCCATTGTTGGAATTCTTTCTTGTTTTTGCTTTATCCTTAAGAAATTTTGGGTACAGGGCAATTCGATTTGCATGATTATTCTGTCTTAATCCAGTCTTTGTTAAGTATAAGGAAAGAACTTGGTTCTAATCACAATTTCTTTAAAAACATTTGAGACAGCAGGGAAAACATTTTTCTTTCTACTCTTTGGATTTTTGTATAATAAAACATTGAAATATATGTTTTTTTGGCAAGTTACTATTTTTAGAAAGTGCCTAAATTTGGACAGTGAAACTTAATATTATGTGGTCTCAATGAAACTGTTGCTGTGCTAAGACACAAGTTAGTATTTTGTGTTTTAGAAGATGTAATCAACATGCTTGTTAAGCTTTTCTTTCTTGAACATCAGAAAGCAATGCATATTTACTTCTAAATATTTTGCATCTTTTATGTTACAGTTATTTTACCAAGAAAATGGTTTGCACGACTTTGAACATATACTATCCATGCTGATGGGACAGGATCCAATATGAATATAAATGATGGAGGAAGACGACGCTTTGAAGATAATGAACATACATTACGGATCTATCCTGGGACTATTTCAGAAGGGACAATCTACTGTCCTATTCCTGCCAGAAAAAACTCCACAGCTGCTGAGGTGATTGAGTCTCTTATAAACAAACTTCATCTTGACAAAACAAAATGTTATGTTCTAGCGGAGGTAAAGGAATTTGGTGGAGAAGAATGGATTCTCAATCCAACAGACTGTCCAGTTCAGCGAATGATGTTGTGGCCCCGAATGGCTCTGGAAAATCGCTTAAGTGGAGAGGACTACCGCTTTCTTCTGAGAGAGAAAAACCTTGATGGATCGATCCATTATGGTAGCCTGCAGTCATGGCTACGGGTAACAGAAGAACGTCGCAGGATGATGGAACGGGGTTTTCTTCCACAGCCTCAACAGAAAGACTTTGATGACTTATGTAGTTTACCTGATTTGAATGAGAAAACTCTCTTAGAAAACCTACGAAATCGCTTTAAGCATGAAAAAATTTATACCTATGTTGGCAGTATTCTAATAGTTATTAACCCATTCAAGTTTCTTCCTATTTATAACCCCAAATATGTCAAAATGTATGATAACCACCAACTGGGAAAACTTGAGCCCCACATTTATGCTGTGGCTGATGTAGCTTATCATGCCATGCTTCAGCGCAAAAAGAATCAGTGCATCGTGATTTCGGGAGAGAGTGGTTCTGGGAAGACTCAAAGCACAAACTTTCTTATTCACCACCTTACCGCTCTCAGTCAGAAAGGATTTGTCAGTGGAGTAGAACAGATTATTCTTGGAGCTGGACCAGTACTTGAGGTAAATATATAGAAATCTTGTTTTTGATTTTAATTTTAATTGTTATCCTTTGAGGTGGGGGGGGATGCACCATTCCTGGAGGTATTGCAATACCAGATCAATGTGTGGAGTAGATCAAGCAAGATCCTATTCCATCTCCCTGCTTCAAAAACTCATTTAGAGTTGGGCGCAGTGGCTCGTGCCTGTAATCCCAGCACTTTGGGAGGCCGAGGTAGGTGGATCGCCTGAGGTCAGGAGTTCCAGACCAGCCTGACCAACATGCAGAAACCCGTCTCTACTGAAAATACAAAAAAAAATTAGCCAGGCGTGGTGGTGCATGCCTGTAATCCTAGCTACTCGGGAGGCTGAGGCGGGAGAATTGTTTGAACCCGGGAGGCGGAGGTTGTGGTGAGTCGAGATCATGCCATTGCACTCTAGTCTGAGCAACAAGAGCGAAACTCTCGTCTCAAAAACAAAACAAAACAAACAAAATTGTCTTTGGATAGAAGACATTCCAGATATTAAACTGATAAAAACAAAACTACACTTGATCTTAGCCAGAAGGCTGAGAAGCTGTAGAAATACTGTTCTTGCTACTCTGGGCACACTGCCTGCAGGGTAGCCCTGCTCCACAAGGAGCAGCAATTTAAAAAAAAAGAAAGAAAAATACTGTTCTTATTCTTAAACATATCTTTAAAAAATATTTGATAGATGTGAGAAGATGGAGTAAAACTAAATAGAAGTGTAGACATTATTTTTAGTAACCAAGAGAAACTGGAGGATGGGAAAGCAAAAAAGGTGGTGTGGAAGATTGAGGAGTGTGACAGTGGTAATTTTTTTTTTTAAGTGAGTGTCTTTGGGTCATTAATGATGCAAAGAAAGAGATGACTGTAGTCATTGTATATCCTCCTGTAAGGGGAGAAAGCAGAGGCAGGTCCTGTCTAACTGCATTGTGATGGTTGGTGAGAATATTTTTGCTGATGTATTTGTATTTCTGCAAGCTTAACAGCTGTGCCTAGCATTGAAACTTGTAATAATGTAGAGAATATGGAAAAAAATGTTTAGTTGTGGAATGTTTTACAAGTAATACCATCCAATGTCCAAAGGAAAGATAATACAGAAGGATAAGTACTCCACAATCTCACTTATATGTGGAATCTGAAAAGTTGAATGCATAGAAACAAAGAGCAAAGTGGTAGTTACTAAAGGCTGGGGGAATTGGAGAGATATTGGTCAAAGGACACAAATTTTTTAGTTATATAGGAGGAATAAGGTCAAGAGATCTGTTGTACATCATGATGACTATAGTAAGTAACAATACATTATATACTTGAAAATTTCAGGCCGGGCGCGGTGGCTCATGCCTGTAATCCCAGCACTCTGGGAGGCTGAGACGGGCGGATCATGAGGTCAGCAGATCGAGACCATCCTGCCTAACACGGTGAAACCCCGTCTCCACCATAAAATAAAATACAAAAAACTAGCCAGGCTAGGTGGCGGGCACCTGTAGTCCCAGCTACTCGGGAGGCGGAGGCAGGAGAATGACGTAAACCCGAGAGACGGAGCTTACAATGAGCCAAGATCCGGCCACTGCACTCCAGCCTGGGTGACAGAGTGAGACTCCATCTCAAAAAAAAAAAAAAAAAAAAAAAAAAATTTCTTTCTTTCTTTTTTTTCTTTTGAGACAGAATTTCACTCTTGATGGTGCGATCTCGGCTCACTGCAACCTCAGCCTCCTGGGTTCAAGGGATTCTTCTGCCTCAGCCTCCCGAGTAGCTGGGATTACAGGCATGCGCCACCACACCTGGCTAATTTTGTATTTTTGGTAGAGACAGGATTTCTCCATGTTGGTCAGGCTGGTCTTGAACTCCCGGCCTCAGGTGATCCACCTGCCTTGGGCGCACAAAGTGCTGGGATTATAGGCATGAGCCACTGCCCCCAGCCTATACTTGAGAATTTCTAAGAATAGATTTTAACTAGTCTCAGTACAAAAAATGATAAGTATTGTGAGGTAATACATAAATTAAGTAGCTTGATTTTGCCATTCTACACTGCAGACATATGAAAACATCATGTTATATACCATAAATATATGCAATTTTTGCTTGTCAATTTATAAAAAAAAAAGGAAAGGGAATATAGTGTTGGTTTTAGACCTGAAAGGAAAAGGTAATATTACTTAGTTGTCTTTTTAAAAGGTATTTTGTAGGTATAATTGAAATACAGTAAACTGTGTATATTTAAAGTGTACAATGTGATAAACTTTGACATGTATATACCCATGAAACCACCACAGTCAAGATACTGAACATATCCATTATCCCCAAAGTTTCTTCATACCTCTTTGTAATCCCTCTTTCACACTCCTTCCCATATACACCCCACCCGTATATGGGAAACCAGTTAAGTTCTTTCTGTCACTGTAGATTAGTTTGCTTTTTCTACTATTTTATGTACATGGAACCACATAGTATGTACCCTTTTGTATTTGGCTTCTCCCACTTGGTATAATTATTTTGAGATTTATCCATGTTGTTGCATGTGTCAATAATACATTCCTTTTTGTTGCTAAGGTAATAGTATTCCATTGGATATCACAATTTTTTAAATCTATTCACTTGTTGATGGATATATGGGTTGTTTTTAATTTTTGGCTATTACATTCAAGTTTATATAGACATACATTTTTTTCTCTTCAGTAATTATCTAGGAATGGAATGACTAGATCAGATGATAAGTATGTGTTTAACTTTTTATTAAGTTCTTTAATTTCTCTTGGCAGTATTTTATAGTTATTAGTGTACAGATCTTTTACATCTTTGGTAAGATTTATCTCTCAGTATTTTTGAGGATGTTATTATAAATGGTGTTCTACAATTTTCAATTGTTTGTTGCTAGTATATAGATATACAGTTGATAGTTACATGTTGATCTTCTGCAACCTGGCTAGACTTAAGTATTAGTGCCATTAACCTTTTTTTTTTTTTTTTTTTGAGACGAGGTCACCCTCTATTGCCTAGGCTGGAGTGTAGCGATGTCATCATAGCTCACCGCAGCTGCAATCTCCAGGCTCGAGTGATCCTCCCTCCTTAGCCTCCTGAGTAGCTGGCCTTATTGGCCTGTGTCGCTATGCTGGGCTACCTTTTTTTTTTTTTTTTTTTTTTTTTTTAGTAGTGATGAGGTCTCACTATGTTGCCTAGGCTGACTGGTCCTGAACTCCTGAGCTCAAGTGATCCTCCTGTCTTGGCCTCCTAAAGTGCTGGGATAACAGGAATGAGCCACCGCACCTGCCCACCCCCACACCAACTTTTTTATAGATTCCATTGGGTTTTTCATATAGTCAGTCATGTCTGTAAATAAAAAGTTTTTCTTCCTTTCTAGTTTGGATGTCTTTTTTTTTTTTTTTCTTGCTTGATTTCACTGGCTACTCCAGTATAATGTTGAATAGAGGTGGTTGAAAGCAACGTCCTTGTCTCATTTCTAATCTTAGGGGAAAACATTTAGTTTTTAGCCATTAAGTTATAATGATAGCTGTTGGTTTTGTGTAAATTCTGTATCAAATTGAGCTTGATTCCTTCTATTCCTAGCTTGTTTAGATCTTTTTTCAGGAATGGATGTAAAAATTCATTCTGTCACGTGTTATTTCTGTGTCTTACTGAGATGATTTTTCTTTTTAACTTTGTTAATGTGAATTACATCATGAGGGACATTGTTTTCTTTCTCATTAAAAAAATTTTTTTGAGAGTGGATCCCACTGTGTTGCCCAGGCTGGTCTCAATCTCCTGGGCTTCAGTGATTCTCCTGCTTCAGCCTTCCAAGTAGTTGAGATTACAGGCATGCACCATCATGCCTAACACTGTTTTCTTTAATGTTTTTTTTTTTTTTTTTGCATTCTATCTTTTGCATTGATAGAACTATCAAGTCTCATAGGATGAATTGGGAAGTCTTTTCTCCTCATATTTTTGGAAGAGTTGTGTAGAACTGATTGTTTTTTTTTTTTACTGTCAGTGTTGGAATTCATTAATGAAGCCATCTGGACCTGGTGTTTTTTGTGGGAGAATTTTAAACAAGGCTTCAATTTTTAAAGTAGATATAGAGTTATTCATATTACCTTTTTTTTTTGTAAGCTTTGGTAGTTTGTATCTTTCAAGAAATTTGCTTAATCTAAGTTACCATATTTATTGTCATAAAGTTTTATATAATAGTCCCTTATTGGGAACTGCTGCGGCTACCACCGCTGCCACTGGCTCTGCAGCTGTAGGGGACCCGTGCTGGTATGCAGGTGAAAGGCACTCTGCCTGCTGAAAGTTCCCACGGAAAAACTACCATCTCCTCAGCTCACCATGGTGTACGAAACTGATTTAACTACCGGAGATGCTGGGGCTTCCAGCCCCTACCCTATGCAGTGCTCGACCTTGCGCAAAAGTGGCTTCATGGTGTTCAAAGGACAACCATGCAAAATAGTGAAGATGTCAACTTCCAAAACTGGAAAACTTGGTCGTGCCAAGGTTCACCTTGTTGGAATTGCTATTTTCATGGGCAAAAAAAAAAAAAAAAAAAGATATTTGTCCTTCTGTTCACAACATGGGTGTTCCAAATATTCAGACACATGATTATCAACTGATACGCATTCAAGATAGTTGCCTTCCCCTGCCTACAGAAACCGATGAAGTTCCTGAGGATCTTAAACTGCCAGAAGGTGAAGTAGGCAAATAAATACAAGGAAAATACAATGCAGGTGAAGATGTGTCTGTCATGTGTGCAATGAGTGAAGAATATGCTGTAGCCATAAAACCCTGCAAATAAATGGGAGCCTTGACCTCCCTGGCTTAAGCAATTCTCCCACCTCACCCTCCCAAGTAGGTGGTATTATAGGCATGTACCACCACGCCTGCCTTATTTTTGTATTTTTTGTAGAGACAGAGTTTTACCATGTTGCCCAGGCTGGTCTTGAGCTCGCAGGCTCAAGTGATCCACCTGCTTTGTGCTAGAATTACAGGCTTTTAAAGTGCTAGAATTGC